CTTCTGACCATTTTCGCGTTTTGCTGTTGTGAAAAGCTATGCGCATGTCCTCTTATTGACTGTGAATCTCTTTATAACATTGACAAAGTAGTCTGTGAATCATGAGGCAAACCCGTGCAGCCATAACAATGATTTCATACGCAATCAATACAAGGAAGAACGCATGAAAGGTGATGGCAATTTGTTTCATACTGAATAAAAACATGTCTGGATTTATGAAAACAGCGTTTTCGCCAGTGACGATATAAAGTAGACGATATACAAATTAAAAGGAATGTCAAACTTATTTATTTCTCCACTCTCTTCCCATAGTTTGAAGAGATTTCAAGGCCCCTAGAAGTCATGAAATCAAAGTACATATGGGTGATTTGGCACAAAGTATTGACACGGTTTTCAGAAATCCAGTGATGTACATATACGGTGGAGCCCAGCCTTAAGGCCACCCCGTTAATACGGCGACCTCGTTAATACGACTACTTTATTCTTGCCTGAACAAAAGCCCGGTCAGCCATTTTCTTATTTAAAGAACCCTTTAATACGGCCAGATTTTTGTGTCTCATTGGTGACCGGATTGACGAGGTTCCACTGTATAAAAATCGGGAAAATAATTTCAAAAAAAACTTACCAAGTCCCTAAAAAGAATTGATCCTAACGTGAGAACATCGTGAACACCATTTTGTTGAACATAAACTCTGTCCTGTGAATACAATTAACAAATATAACACATACTTTACTAAAGAATGACTCGGCAGGAGAGCAAGATGGACATATTCAATCACTAAATGTTTAATCATCACTGATGAACAATCATGGAGTTTGCTTGCATACAATAATACTAAATGACAAACAAAATAGGAAAGATTCTCTGATTGAGACCCTTGAAATTTGGAGTAAAAGAACGGTTGCTAAACTCATAGGTTTGATTGTTCTTTAAGCCCAAATACTGACTGGAAAACACTGAAAATAGCATTTCCAAGCGTGTAAATTTCAAAATTTCCTAGGCGGGGTGGGGGGTGGGAATAACGCATTTTTTGGAAAGCTCTTAGGGGTATAGCTTTCCGTGTGATTGAGAAAACATCCATTGAACAAATGAATAAAGAAACGATGTGGTCAACTTTCACTGATTTTGGCTGTACGATGAATGAGTTTTAAACTGCACTTG